TCCTCAAAGGAAGTCTTAAGTGTGGACCCAGGTGTTGCTGAGGGGGGCCTGGTAGGGCGGGGGGAAGATAAAAGGCTTTCTGGAGGCCCTCTGACCCCAGCCATCCCACGGGAAATGAGTGAGGAGGCTGCTGGCTAGCAGACAAGCAGGTGTGCCCTAAAGAAGCCACGGAGATTAGCCGAGGCTTATCCAAACCTCTGCAGGAGGCAAATCTCTCCTGGTTCTCTCAGGAGACCTCAGTGCTCCTCTGGCATCAAATAAGCCAGATGCAGAATGAACATAAACTTGGCCTTTTGTGAATCTAGGGCCCCAGACTGGGGATCTGGACACCATCATACTCACCAGGGCCCTAAAGGGAATACGTTTTTAGAAAGTAAATTTTAAGAAAGGAAAAGAGGGAGAAAAATGACTTCAAGGCAGGATCACAGATAGATGAAACTTCACTTATGTTTGAATCTTTGTCTTTGCAGAAATTGTCTGCCACCCACATTAGACCAAAAACTGCTTTTGTCTCTAGAAAACACGACTTCTGGGGAAAATAGGTGATATTTTCTGTTTAGCAAAGGTTAAAAAAAAAAAAACAAAAACAAAAGATTCAAAGGTTGAGAGTTCTCTTTCTCAGAAACTCCAAGGGAAGAAAGCAAATTAGCAACTTTAACAGTGAGAGGAGGGGGGAAGGAGGTCCCCATGGGTGTAGAATATGTCAGCTTTGTACTGTGTCAAAGTATATGATGTGCAAGAAAGAGCAGTGGCAGTAGATCAAATGCATTGAAATTCTGATTCTTCTATGTATCTACTGTGTGACTTTAAATCAGTCAACTAACCTCTCTGAGCATCAAACATGCATCCCACCCTAAGATGACCCCAGCAACGGCTCCTTCACAGAGCAGTCTGAGCATTAATAAGATAACTTATGTAAACACCTGGCATGGTAACTAGCACATAGAAGGCGCTAAACAAAAGTTGGCTCCTTCTTCTTTTTTTTTTTTTTTTGAGACAGAGTCTTGTTCTGTCGCCAGGCACCAGGCTGGAGTGCAGTGACACAATCTCGGCTCACTGCAACCTCCGCCTCCCGGGTTCAAGCAATTCTCCTGCCTCAGCCTCCAGAGTAGCTGTGACTACAGGCGCGCACCACCACACCCAGCTAATTTTTGTATTTTTTAAGTAGAGACAGGATTTCACCATGTTGGCCAGGATGGTCTCGATCTCTTGACCTCGTGATCTGCCCACCTCGGCTTCCCAAAGTGCTGGGATTACAGGCGTGAGCCACCGCGCCCGGCCAAAAGTTAGCTCCTTCTACTTTTTCTCCTCTTTCACCAATTCAATCATACATATATGATCTATATAAATAGGTATTATATATTACATATCTACTATATATTACATTAAATGTTGTATTACATATTTTATATATCTACAATGTATATTATATAATTGATATAATATATAATTGATATATAGCATTTATATGTAATTAATATATATCATTTATATCATAAGTCACAGATATCAATTACATATCTCATATATCATATGTCATAGGTATCAATTATATATCATATATTATAGATTTATATATAATATGTAATACATATTATAGATAATATATATCCATAATGTTTCAGATATCTTTCTCATTTAAAGAAAGAGATAAAATCCTTACTATTTTGAACTTGTAGAAACCCATTCTCATCAGGATAAGTCACTTGCCCAAACTTTACATAGATGGAAAAAGCAGAGGTTAGAACACAGATCTCCCCTATGCCCTTGCTAGATCTTGCTGTTTAATTGGTACCATAAAGATGGCCTAATACCCAGTCTCAGAACCATCCAGTAATGGCCATAGCAGAAGAGGGACATTGGAATCAGACACCAGTATATCACGGGCCACTTCTTGCAGAGGTGTCCATTAGGGAGATGGTAGTTGTAATTGTCTCTCAAACATGGTGGAAACTGGCTCCCAGAACATGTAGGGCTTGCAGAGTATGGGTGGGACTGGTAGGGGTGGTACTCATAATTTTTTTTTTTTGAGACAGGGTCTCACTCTATTGCCCAGTCTGGAGTGCAGTGGCACAATCTCGGCTCACCACAAACTCCACCTCCCGGGTTCAAATGATTCTCCTGCCTCAGCCTCCTGAGTAGCGGGACTACAGGCACACGCCACCACTCCCAGCTAATTTGTTTTGTATTTTTTAGTATAGATAGGGTTTGGCCATGTTGGCCAGGCTGATCTCGAACTCATGACCTCAAGTGATTGTCCCACCTTGTTCTTTCAAAGTGCTGAGATTACAGATTTGAGTCATCGTGCCCAGCCTTAATAGTTTTAAACTAGTAGTGTTACCAAGAGCTCCTTTATATTTTAAACTGGTTGTGCCACATGTATATCTAAGTATGACAGTTCACTTTGGAGAGGCTGAAAATGTTGAGCTGTCTCTAATTCAGTAACAACAACAACAACAATAATAGTAATTTTATTTTCTTTTCCAAGCCCCTCTCTTCACAAGCACTTATGGTAAAACAGGAATATAACTCTGAGGATTGATGCACGGCCTTCCCATTAACTATCCCGATTATTTTTGTGGTAGGAAGTTTCTCTGTGAGAGGTCAGATTGTAGTAAACCTTGTCTTTGTTCCCAGAAATAGTTGAATTTCTACTCCTGTTGGAATTGTCTTGTCATCAATATCTAACGTTTCATAATTTTAGAACTAGAAGGAATCATGTACAGTGGTAATTTTCCCTTCTTGCTTTCTAAATTATGAAATTAAGGGAGACTCAGAGATTCAGAATAACTCATCCAAAGACAAGAAACAAACGTGGCCACCTCTCCACTTTATGCTTTGCCCAGAGTTTCAGGGACTCATGTGTGGATAAAAGAAACAATCTTCTTTGGCAATCTTTATTTTCCCCACAGAGCTAAGTGTGCACAGAAACATGATAAAGCCACTTAAGTCCAAAAGAGCACAATTATTATGACAAATATCCAAATAGTTCATTAAACATTCTCAGGAAAAAAGTAAACAAATAAAATGCCAAAAAACCCTTGAAAGCTTTGAAAACAGCATTGTCTTTTTAATTTAGAGCTTTCTTTGTGGATTGTCAAACATTTAAAATTTTTGAAACTGCTATAATTATTATTATTATTATTATTAAGCTAGAAAGTCACTAAAATATAATATTTGGTTTCTTTTCATTATGTCTAATGAAGTTGTTTCATGCAACTAAAGTTAACTGAGCACTTACTATGTGCCAGGTAGATGCTAAGTACTTAGAATACAATAATGAAAAGCCACAGTCTCCCTGCTCAAGAAATTCAGTCTAGGGTAGCGTAAAACAGGTGCTACACAATATAGATCAAAGACCTAAATGTAAGACCTAAAACTATAAAACTCTTAGAAGAGAACATAGGAGAAAAGTTTCATGACACTCGATTTTGGAATGAATTCTCAGATATAACACCAATACTACATGCAACAAAAGAAGAAATAGATAAGCTGCATCAAAGTTAAAAGCTTTTGTGTACTAAAAGACAAAATTAACAGAGTAAAAAGACAATTCATCAGATGGAAGAGAACATTTGCAAATCATAGATCTGATAAAGGATCCAGAATATATAAAGCACTACTACAACTCAACAACAAACAGACAACCTGATTCAAAAATGAATAAAGGACTTGAACAGACATTTCTCCAAAGATATATAAGTAACCAACCAGCACAGAAAAAAATAACATCACTAATTATTAAGAAGTGCAAATCAAAATCGTGATGAGATACCACTTCACTCCTATTAGGATGGCTACCATTAAAAAAAAAAAAAAAAAAAAAAAAAACAGAAACTAATAATTATTGATGAAGATCTGGAAAAATTGAAATCCTTGCTGGAATGTAAAATGGTGCCACTGCTATGGAAACTGGTGCAGTGGTACCTCAAAAAATTGAAAATATAATTACCACTTGATCTCTCAATTCCAGTTCTGAGTATTTACCAAAAGAAATTGAAAGCAGGGGCTCAAGGAGAGATCTGTAGCAGCATTATTCTTAGTAGCCAAAAAATGGAAGCAAACCAAGTGTCTATGGATGGATGAATGAATGCATAAAATGTGGCCTATATATACAATGGAATATTATTCAACCTTAAACAAGAAGGAAGATCGGATACATGCTATAACATGGATGAAACTAAAGGAAATCATGCTAAGTGATGTAAATCAATCACAAAACAACAAATATTGTATGAATCCAATTATATGAAGTATCTAGAGTTCAAACTCCTACAGACAGAACATAGAATGGTGGTTTCCAGAAGCTGAGGAGAGGGAGTAACGGAGAAACATTTTTAATAGATACAGAATTTCAGTTTTGCAAGATGTAAAGAGTTTTGTGGATGGATAGTGGCGATGCTAGCACGATGGTGTTAATCGGCTCACAACTACTGGATATACACTTAATAATGGCTAAGACAGTAATTTTTCGTATGTGTTTTTTTTTTAACCAAAACTAAAAGAAATATACAAGCACTACAATCATCATTATTAGTAAACTCACCAAATGCCAGCATAGGTCTCCAGGGACTATATTAGATGGAATCCCTATTGAAATTCACTCAAAAAGAAATCTTCAGATTCTACTAAAAGTATAAAACGATATACTGAGAGTAGAAGAGAAGTTTTGTTGAAAAAAGCTGGTAAACTGCAGAGCCCTATCTAGTCTTTTTTGGAGACCATACAGCTCACTAGAACTTTATAAAACCAATAATGCTAAATTTTTCCATTAACAAAAACCATTTTAAATGCCATTTGCATTTCTATAAAATATACACATTAGGACAGACAAAAATTAGTTTTTGCCATTGACTGTTGAGAGGCTATGCTTCATAGTATATGGCAGGGCCATGGGTAAATGCCCTGCCAGGGCATTTACACTCTCCCAGGCATGGGAAATCTTTGTTGTATTTGGTACATTTTAAAAAGAAATGTTAAACTCGCTGGTAAGGGCTTACCGGTTGTACTTCCTCAAGGAGACACTCTAGATCTCAGTTCCTCAGTAGTGAAAGTTTCCTGGAATGTCATCATCTTGGAAAGAGGTGAACAACTGGACGTGTAACACCAGGATCTTCACTGAGAATGAATATAAGAAAGATCAATTATCTAAGGTACAGGTAAAATAATTTCCCATGACCCCAACATTCACAGGTGTCATCCAATCTATCAGTGCCCTCAGAAAGCCACACCTTTACTCATAGCATTTAACAAGCTCTCCTTTTATGTCTTCTCTTTGCTGGATGCTGTGCTAGGTTAGGGGTATGCATAAACAAGATGCAATCCCTGTATTTGATAACCTTACATCCTAGAGTATGACGAAGCACCAAGAATCAATGACAATGTCATTATATGGGATATATTTTGGTTTCATCTGCATAAGCTAAAGAAAGCACACACATCTCCCCTCATACCACTTTCCAACAAGACAGAAAAGCCCACAGAAACAAAAAGTGAATCACATAATGCCACTTCACACATTTTTTCCAATAAGGTGACTGTCTTAAATCCATATTCTCTGATGCCCAGGGTCCCCCTCATGAGATGCCCAGTCTCTGTCTGAACTTGGTTGGAGCCAGAAATCAAGACTGAGATTATAGTCTCCCATTCTCATTCAAGCTCATGAGCCTCCCAAATAGGAAACACTCCCTGTCCCTTGGCCACAGAATAGGCAGCCATTTGATCAGAAAGGCCCAGCCAGCTAGTGCAAATGGCAAATCCATCAGCACTGTTATCCAAATGGTAAGGTTTGGCAGTATTGTCTTCACGAATTAAAAACGACACATTACAACAATTACATGGCTCTGATAGTCCTCACTGCCTGACATGCTGGTTCAGCCTAATTCCCAGACTGTTTCAGACACCCAAACAAATTAACACATTTCCTAATGATACAAAATTGTGTTGCTCTGTGTGTGTGTGCATGCATGCGTGTGTGTGTGTGTGTATGTGTGTGTGTAAACCTTCATACAACCACATTATTATCAATTAAGTATTTATCAGAGTTCCGCTGACCTGTGACAAGCATCAGCAATTGGCCCTTGGAACATTGGTGTTGGCTATTTTTAAAAGCCAGCTTCTAGCCTCGGTCAGCAGAACATGTTAAACCTCAATGAACAGCTCTCACTATCTTTTGTACTGGATCCATACTCCAGGCTGAATGAAGCTTTTAGAACCAGCAAGAACCAGATGGCCCTCCAAGATCATTTTGAATGTTTGGATCTGAGTCATTTGTATGCGGAAGCCTTCACAAAATAGCAATCTGGGGAACATGCTCCAGGCTGAGTCCAGCTTTCCAGACAGCCCATCTTTGCCTACAATTGAGAAGACAAGCACAATATTGTAGGGTTCCACAAAAATATTGCAGCATATATCTATATGTGTAGCACCAAATACATGGAGTGTCCCAGTCAGGCTGTCACTACAATGGTAGCTCGCCACCACTCTTCCTCCTCACTCTCCCTAATTATTTTTCTTTTTTCTATTGTACCTATAGTTTCTCTTCTAGCACAGGCATAAAGCCAGCTTTGTGAATCAGCCAGCAGAGGGTACTACAATACTGGTGCAATAATCCAAATCACAGCAAATTTACAGCTGAAAAAGATTTAGACTAATTAAAAAGGGCTTCACTATTATTACATGCTTGGAGCTTTTAGCCAGAAAGAAGAGGCCAGTGGGATGGAAGAGATGGAACCGAAACTGGTAGACAGGGACTGCTCATCAGAAGAGGGAAAGCAGGAGTATAGGTTCAGTATCACTAGTCCGGGGGTGAAGGAAACCTAGATTCAAAAATGAGAAGGAATCAAAACTAAGGGGTCAGCCACTTCTAGTTGGGGTCAGCCATTTCTATTCATCCTAGAGAAACTTTTTTAAATACCTGTAAGTGAACATTTATAACAGTTCTATTTATAATCACCCCAAACTGGGAACAACCCAAATGTCTTTTAATCAGTGAATGAAGAAACCAAGTGTGGTATATCCATACAATGGAATATTACTCAGTGATTAAAAAAAAAGAGATTATTAATACATACAGTAACAGGGATGAATCTCAAAGGCATTATGTTGAGTAGTAGAAACCATTGTTGAAAAGAAAGTTACAGGCATATGATTCCATTTAGATGACATTCTCAACAGATCAACAGTTGCCAGAGATTGGGGCTGAGGAGAAGGTATAACTATAAAGAAACAGCATGAAAGAATTCTTGGGAGTCGTGGAACTGTTTTGTATTTTGTTATTGGTGGTGATTACATCAATCTACATGGGTTAAATTTATAGAACTGTACACCAAAAAAATTAATGCCAGTGTTTCAACTGAATGTAAAATTCTTTCATTAATGGTATGCTAAATATAAAAAAGAAAATTTTGAAAAAAAAAAAAACATTAAAAAAGATGGAACTTTTTTAAAAAGAGGGCAGAATGGTATAAGCAGACAAAGAGTGAAGCCAATTTGTTGTCTCATCAAGAACATATAGAGGAGGTAAATTATGAGAAGACAGAGTTGAGTTGAGACTTGGAGGACAGGCTAACAGGAAATTGGTGAGAACATCAAGTTTCTCACACTCAATTTGTTGTGAACAGCAGTGTTTCCCTGAGTACCAACCAGCAGCTTCAGCTGAAGGGACCAAAGAAGCCACCTGGCCCTACATGGTAGTGATGGAGCAAGAAGGTCACTAGTCAGAGTTGGTACAGGACCAGAATCTGCCCACCCTTAGGAGCCAACATCTATGATGATGTAGAACAGAATCAAAATAATTCCGGTAGTCATCGTCCACAACAGTGCAGACAGCCTCAGTGTAATTCTTCACCTCATTCACTGGTAGGGATAGGCTCATTGCCTTTAGTCAGGGGTTTAGTTGAGACAGGAAGTGACAAACAAAAACTAGATATATCTAATCTAACCCTCTCATTTACAGATGAGGAAGCTGGGAGAGCAAAGTAGTGTGAGTCCTCCAAATCGCACAGCCTGTGAATGCCCTTCAGGGCTCTGTATACTGACCTGGGACCAGGGACCAGGGATGGTATTTCTTCTCATCTGTCCTAGGTAGGTGAGATTGTGTTTTACATTTAAAAGATAGCAAGAAAAAGGTGACTCCACAGCATGCCATTAGAATCCACTGAAAAATATACTACCTTCCATAAAACCCTTGTTGTTATTCTTTTCTCAGATGAATTGCTTGTGAATTCCTGTGTCTGATTCCTGTATCAGCCTTCTCTTCTTCAAGCTATTCAATCCAGTGATTAGACTGCTTATTGCAAATAGTCCAAGAGTTCTTATCTATCAAATTACCTCTTACGCCTATGTTTTTTGTTTCCATCTAACTTTGGAGAGCTCAGAAGAGGGAAGACAGTCTCACACATTGCAAATGTGGTGCACTCAGATTAAATGGTATGTGAAAAAGGTCCTGGTTGAGAAGTTGAGACACAGGCTTTGCTCCAGATTTACTGATAACTGCATGTGAGATTTTAGGTAAGTCTCTTTCTTTCTCTGGGCCTTAATTTCCTCCTCTATAAAGTGAGCCAGTTATATTTGAAGATCTTTAAGGTACTTTCTAGTCTTACAATGTTTCACTTCTGTGTTTAGTCTTAAATGGAAATGATAAATACTGAAACTGATGCACAAAAGAACTTATAATTTTCAGTTTAATTCAAAAAAATATGTACTTAGAGTCTATTTTCAGACTATATACTAGCCATGAGGGATATTCAAATAATTAAGAAATAAACCCTACCTTAAAGGACATACAACCTATTGGATTAGAACAAGAGTGGAGTCAAAGGGTATAGATTCAAGGACACTGCTCTACTTGGAATGACTCAGATCGCTTATTTAACATCTCTGAACCTATTTCTTCACCTATAAATTGTGAAAAATAATAGCTCCTGCTAGGAGTGAAGAATAAATGGGAGTATATAAGTTTTTGTTATTAAGTCATTCATATTACTATCCTGCCCTCTTGAAACAGCATTTTTCTTTGTTGCCCCATAACTTTTGGCAAATGATCTCCATTTTTAATCTCTCAAAGCTGAATAAGCTATTCATACTTTCAGATGGAACTCAGGTTTCACTTCTCTAAGAAGACGTATCTGTCTGCTCCAGACAACACAGATCTCCCTTGCCTCTGGTTTTCTGTTGCCAATGTTTAGCATTTCAATGCTACTGTCTATTGCTTCACAATTGCCCTGGGTATCTATGGTTTTAAGCTCTCCTGAACTCCAGTTCTTTATGTTATCAACTGCCTATAGTAACTTCAAATTCTACCTGTATCAAGTAGAATCCACAATTATATCCAGAAACCCTACTCCTCTTCTTGGGCTCCTTTTAGTTTATAGCATCTCAGTCACTTAAACTAAACACCTGTTTGTCATGTTTCCTTTTTATTACACTCTCATCCAATCCATCCTATGTAATTCCAACTCACGTGTCTCTCAAATCCATTCTTTATCATCTCCATTGTCACAGCCTTACTTAAGTACCTCTTGGCTAAATTCAAGCAATGGTAAAGGGAAAGATTTGTCAGTATCACCTAGCAAGCATTTTTCAAAATGCTTACCTTCCCATAACCCCGCATCACATCAGAAGTGTGGTTGAAGGAGAAGACAGAAGAGTGCAGGAAAAAACAGGCTTGTGTATTTTGCAAAAGTTTTTCAGGTTATTCTTATAGATTTTTCCATTCCTGTTGAGAATCACTGTCTTAATCTTTCTCCTTCCAATCTTTCCTGTCCCTCCTGCCCAAGTTACTTTTAAAACCTTCTGGTTAATCAATAAAGGCTACTCATTGTCTTTCTTCAGTCTGGCTTTCACATCCTGCTCCAGGCCACTCTCTTGACCTTGTTTTCTTCCATTGCTTCCAAGCCTATGCTAGTCCATTTGTATTTGCATAAAGACACACGCAAGGCTGGGTAATTTATTTAAAAAAAAAAGAGAGAGAGAGAGAGATTTATTTGTTTCATCGTTCTGCAGGCTATAGAAGAAGCATGGCAGCCGGGTGCTCATGCCTGTAATCCCAGCACTTTGGGAGGCCGAGGTGGGGGGATCAAAAGGTCAAAAGATCAAGACCA